ATATATATATATATATATATATATATATATATATATATATATATATACATACACACACACACGTAATTTCAAAAATAATTTTTATTATACACCCATTGAAAGACGGACATATGGTGTAGTCTCCATCTGTCCATGAGCTTCCTCTTGTCCAGGCCATATGCATCATCCCTAAATGTAGTGTCGCGTACACTTTTCATCACCCCAGCTCCAAGGTCGAGGTCACAAATCAAAGTCAAACGTTACACAAGGTCTTGCTTTTCTGGGCCATTGCTATTGATGTCTGTAGAACAGTTTGTGAACAGGCGTATAATGTGCTGTTTACAATACTCTTGTTCAGGTTAGTTGCTGAAAAGTGATGTTGAGCACGTTTCAGTGCTGGCTCACCAGTTTGTGCCAAATTCTGTCTGACAGTTGTTAATCAGCTTGTTTGATTTTGTCTGTATTTCAGTGCAGTATTGCAAAAACATTGTCGGCATCTGCAGAGTGTAATATTAATGTATTGGTGTACAGGACGACAGTGGAAGTCTCAGTGAGACACACGCCCCTAGGTGGTACAGCATGGAAAACAATCATCCAGATCACATGGGCTTGGCAGTACCTTGGTAAAAACAATTGTCACTCGGCACAGTTTGCCTCTGACTGCAGGGGTGTAATCAAAACTGCAGTACTGAAAGACCACATAAATCAACTTGGTCCAAAAGCAAAGCCAAGTTCTCTGACAAAGATCTCATCTCAGATGGACAGAAAGACTGTGGACATTCTTTCTTTAGGTTTATAATTCCACATTTCAGCTTGTTTTTGGTTAAAATGAGTTCAGGGTTTCTTCTGGTGTAGATTAAGATTTTCAAGCTGTTAATAGCAGATTTTGCATGACTTAACACAAAGAGTGATTATGGATGAGGCTGAGTGGCCTATCTGTAGTCCAAATCTTTCTCCTGTTACAAATTAATCCTGAAAACAAGAACCAGACAACATCAAATATGAAATGCTGTGCAACTAAAACCTAGTATTCAGCCAGACTAAATGCATATCAGAGTCAGAGATTCTTAATTGTCATTCGCACCCCATGTAATACATGTGTTGGAGCGAAATTATGTACACAGGGTCCCCGTTACATCCAACAATAAAATGTATAAGAAAAACAGTAATAACATCTAAGATATGAACTTAGAAAAACATCAACTAAAAATACACTAAGCAGTAACAGCACAAGAACATTACATCGAACAGCAGCATGAACATGAGTCTGTGTGAGCAGATGAGCACGCATGAACACGTCAACATGGAACAGATCAGCAGCATTGAAATAGATCAGCAGCAACATTGAAACAGATCAGCAGCATTGAAACAGATCAGATCCCTCCTATAAAACTGCAATTAGTATTTTCAAGTTTTTCAACAGTGTTTTAAATGTGAGTAATACAGCAATGGTAAAAATAAATAGTGGAAGTGTAAGAGTATATGTGTTTATTGGAACTGTTACAATACAGACTTTAGACATAGGTACAGGGCAGCACGGTGGCGCAACTGGTAGAGCTGCTGCCTCTCAGAGAGCAGGTCCCTAGTTCAAACCCCGGTCCAGGGGCCTTTCTGGGTGGAGTTTGCATGTTCTCTCCGTGCATGCGTGGGTTTTCTCCGGGTGCTCCGGTTTCCTCCCACAGACCAAAAACATGCATGTTAGGCTGATTGGTAACTCTAAATTGTCCCTAGGTGTGAGTGAGAGAGTGAATGGTTGTTTGTCTCGTTTGTCTCTATGTGGCCCTGTGATGGACTTGCGACCCGTCCAGGGTGTACCCCGCCCCTCGCACAGTGATTGCTGGACATGGGCACCAGCGACCCCCGTGACCCAAAATGGAATAAGCGGGTAAAGATAATGGATGGATGGATGGATGGATGGATGGACATAGGTACACTGAAAAACAACAAATGCTTAAATTACTGGCCCCTCTAGAAGCAGGTGCATGTCTAGGCGTATCCAATCCTGGTCCTCAAGGGCCACCATCCTGCATGTTTTAGAAATTTTCCTGCTTCAACACACCTGATTCAATGGTTGAGTTAACTCTTCATATTCTGCAGAAGCCTGTTACTCACCTACTGACAACATTCACACACCTGATTTGAATCAGTGGGTGATGCACATACTTCTGCAGAACACAACCATTGAATCAGATGTGTTGGAGCAGGGAAATCTCTAAAATATTCAGGATAGTGGCCCTTGAGGACCAGGATTGGACACGCTGCAAGAGGCCACATGTATTTATTAAATATTAAAAATGTTAGACACTGTTTACAATTCAAATTCTATACTTTAAAAGAAAACAGTACAAACAATTCTTTCATTGTTTTTATTCTTTAAAATGAACATAGCTGACAAATTCTGACTCGCTGTACATGACCAGCTTCTTTAAAACCCCACACTAACAAGGATGTTGTGTTTTTCTGTCTCTGCTTCTGGGAGCGTTCTTGTCTGTTTAAAACAAAAAAAAAAACAGACAAGTAAAACAAAGTTTCATATTTGTTTTTTTTCTCTGTTGTATTGAACTCATTGTGACTTCATAACCAGGAGCATATCAAACTTTGACTTTGGCATAGCGTTACACCCCTGGTAAAAATGGATCTCACCCCAAATCTATAAAGTTAATTAATAAAATACACAGAAATTATTTGATTGGAACTTGAAGGTTCAAATCAGAAACAAGACAAGATTTTAAAATCAGTCCACATGTTCAGTTTTAGAATCATACTGTCATGTAAACACTTTCTATACATCTTTACTGTATAATCCTAAATGTTGTCCATGTTTCACACTAGATATTACTGCAACATGCTAACTCTAATACACATTTGCTATTTTTCTATCCTCACATCGTTGCCCAGATGCTTACACCAATAATGAAGTGATCTACCTGTGGACCCAAGGGGATGAGAGGTCTGTGTCTGTGGCAGAGGGCGGCTCCAGGCTTAACCAGTATGACTTACTGGGGCACGTTATTGGCAAAGAAACCATCAGTTCCAGCACAGGTACACAGCATGCCATTCTCAGCCCAGACAGTAACACAGACTACAGATCCCTGCAGGTGAAATCAGATACATCAAGCAAAATGATGGGAGTAAATGCAGCAGCATGTTGCACTGAGCTGGACTTACACCAGTGTTTTCAGGATAAGTAGTAAAAGAAAGGAAAGTTTTGTTTTTTAAATCACATCCTTTTTTCTTCACATATTCTGTAACAAATGAAATGGTTTTGCTTTGTTAATTTTGACCTCTACTTAAACAGTTTTGTATTTTCACATAGAGGCAGTCAACAGTATTGTGTTGTCTCTTATTTTTCATAAATTAGTTGGGTTCATTGAGAAAACATTGGCTACGATCCTAGATTGGAGACTTTGCAGAAAATTTACAAGATATTGTAAAAATATGTGCGATAGGTGAAAGCCCTAATGGTTCTCTTTGAGGCTGTAGCTTAGAATCAACTTTGATCAGTGAAAAAGACAAAATATTCTCTAGCCAAGTATTTTGGATACATGAACATTTTTTTATCATAAGAACTGTGGAATGAGTCCTGGAGGACATAAAGTTTATGTTCCTGTATATCACTTTCAGTTACCTTATGTCAAATACACTCACTGATAAAGAAAGTCTGGAAAAAATAGTCCAGTTTGAACCTAGTTTGGTCCACATGCAAACCAGTGATGGATATTTTAAAGTAGCTGACATGCCTATTACAAGAGACTATACTGTAGGTGGTGGCATCATGATGAGTGGAGCAGTAGAGCATCAGTCAGAACAGTTGAAGAAAGGTCAGCTGACAGAAAATGCCTCACACATTTTGATAAGGGTCACATTATGAGTTTGCATGGAGTTGGCTGGTTATGTTAAGCAATTGCCCACTGTCTGGATGTCACAGTGGATCAATATTGGAACCAAAAGATCAAAGGGTTTATGAGGGTACCCACACACGTCACAAAGGTTCTGGTCATCCAAGACAAACCACAGCAAATGAGGATCTTCATACTGTGCACCAGGCATCACAGGGCTCTGTGACAACCAAACACAGGTTGTGGGCAGGGCCCTCTAAACCTGCTGGTAGGCCTAGGGGCTAAGCAGTCCTGTAGGGCCTCCAACAACGTTATGTCCAAGACCCCTCAGCCCATCCCATTGAGGTGATTGTTAGTATTCTCATTTAAAAAAAGAAAGATGTTCAGGAAAAGGTTACTAATCCAAGGCTTTAAGGATAAAAATTCAGGAAACAACTGGCGTAATGTAAGTTTTTACAATTATACAAAGAATACATTGATTTTTGGATTGAGTAACGCAATTACCAAAGGATATGATACCTACAATCCTAGCGAGGAACAATCTTGTTGTAGAGGGACATGGCAGCTAGGGAGCCAAAGGGTTTGACTTTAGGTCACCTTTGATAGTGATTCAGTGGACCCTGATGGCTCAGATCAGTGACATCCTGTGTCCACGTGCCTTACCCCTCATGAGACTTTGGTGCTGTCTTTAAACAAAGCAACATCTGCCAGTTCTGCCATCTTGCATGGCTGAACAGGCCTGTCTTAAATCAGCTTGGACATCAACTCTGAGACAGTGCTCATCTGCAGGAGGGTGAGTTCCAACAAATGACAGCCAGGTTGCAGTGGTAAAAGATGCAACAGCTCTGTTACTCTGCTCCACATTGAATTGCTGCTAGTACACAGGTCCTAAGGCGTTACACACCCTACTGTCATGGGACAATCAAAATGCCCAACTCTGTTCATCCATGCAATCTGATACAGTAATTATTGTAGTACAGACCAATTTCTGTCAGTGAGTGTTTTTTTTAACCACACAAATAAAATCCATGACGAGCCTGAAAAGCGTTCATGTGTCATACATGAGAGTAACATCAGGCACCAGCTTTGAGTAAAAGCAGAAAGATTTGAACACCTGACTGGAAAAGCTGATGGTTGATTCTGTTAATCACTGAGAGGCAGCAGAGCTTACAGCTGAGCCACACTTAGCTTCCCATTTGGAGAGATTTAACCTGTTTGCTCATGCAGCTCTCAGGATGTGAGTTGCAGACTTTGAAGGCAAACACATTTAGCCCATTTGCATTGTAAGGCCAGGCCCAGTCTGAGTTCCAGCCTGGGTTTAGAGTCTTTGCATTGGGTGGTACGGCCCACTTCCTGATTGATTTTTGGAACCCAGAGACCCGGGGTTCCATATGGGCCGACTGATGCTGAAGATTTGATGTAAGCAGACTACAGGCTGGTTCCCTGGCCCGGATGTAGACACAACTTCAAACGACTGTAGAAGAGCTAACATTAGCTTGTTAACCTTCTTATGTCATTTTGCACTCCCGCCTTTGACATGCTACTGCTGTATGGCCTCTTACATCTTATCATATAATGTATCGTGTATGACTCTGACATTAAGTGCGCTGCAGAATGGTAGCACTGACAGGAACTCCACTTCAACTAGATCTTTTTATGCCCCTGTTGCTTTTGTTTTAACTTTTTTGTTGCGCCTACACTGCACATCCACGGTACGGGTATGACCGTGACACTGTTGTGGAGTTTTCTGTGTGCTGCCTTGCCATCGTGCCATCCTGCCTTCGTGGTTCAGTCCTTCCAACCTCAGGCTCAGGCCTGTCATGTTGGCCATCTCCATGATCCTTCATCTTCCTGCACGGACCAAACCTACAGACCCATTCAGTTCCGCGGGGAAATCTTGGATGTACTCCGTCTGCTGGACCCAGTTCTGGAGGGCAGTCTGGGAAGGCAGGTCCTTGTTATCATCCTTCAGCTGACAGGACCTGCTAATAAGACCTGCTAACAAGATCACCCTGATAACCATACCATACCATACCACTTTATTTATACACTTAAAACAGCGAAATGGCCAACCAAAGTGCTGTACAGACAAAACAACAGACAACACACAAAGCAATATACAAAATGAGGTAAATCAGATTATAGACATAAAAACAATGCAGATAATGACGACAAACCAGTGTGGAGCATACAGGATCAAAACACAGATCATCTGGTGTTGAAAGCCACCAAATAGTAGTGGGTTTTTAAACAGGACTTGAAAACCGAGAGGGAGGGGGCCTGTCTGACAAGCAGAGGTAACTCGTTCCAGAGTCTTGGTCCTGCTACAGAGAAGGCCCTGTCACCTCTGCGCTTAAGACGAGATCCTAGAACTGTGAGGAGCAACTGGTCCGCTGACCTCAGGGAACGCGGTGGGACATACGGTTGTAGCAGATCAGAGAGATGGGGGGGGGGGGGGGGACAAAACTGTTCAGTGATTTGTAGACATACATGAGTATTTTGAACTGGATTCGAAAGTGAACCGGTAACCAGTGCAGTGAGGCCAAAACTGGTGTAATGTGCTCTCTTTTGCCTGTACTGGTTAAAAATCAGGCTGCTGCATTCTGGACTAGTTCTAGTCGTGCTATAGAGGTCTGACTGATACCAAACAGGAGCGAATTGCAGTAATCAAGCCTAGATGTAATGAATGCATGTATTACTGTCTCCAGGTTAATTTTGGATAATATGGGCTTCAGTTTAGACAGCCGCCTCAGTTGGAAGAAACATGATTTAACAATCATGTTTACATGAGCGGAAAGGTCGATGGAGTGGTTTGTGATCGAGTCATTGGGAGGGAACAACATGACTTCAGACTTAACCAAACTGAACCACATCGCTAACACTACCATGGTGCCTACGGGACCATGTTGCTAAGAGAAACCTCACTGTCATCAGAACCACTCTGCCAGTAGGACCGTGCTTCTGTAGATTTATTTCTTTTTCACTTTTGGCACCTTGTTTTTGTATTTGTGTTGCATGCTTTGGTATTTGTTGTTGCTGTTTTTTTGGCGAGTCGAGACTGTTCTTCTCGTCCTGAGCATTTCATTGTACTGTTGACCTTGTGTTGATTTTGCATACAGATAAACCAAACCTGAGCCTATCTAACAACCTGAGGACCTGACTCAACCTTGTTAGATGTATTTACCTGGAATATTGAGCATGCATCAGGACATACCCTCATTTGTCTTTCTGCTGCGTTTCTTCTAACTTCAGGAACACTGGCTCTTTTATACCTTGTTTTTGATAAGAGAAATAATGACCAATAGCATGAGCTCCATGTTTTCCATTGTTGGGTGTTGTGAAAAATTGCATCATGTGAGCCTTGAGCACTCTTGCTATGATGATCCTGCCAACATGCATAAACAACCAAGGCTCTGCAGAGCTGGGGAAGACCTGGGTTGTGCTGAACCTTATGCCAATTGTGTTCCTCTTTACTGGCTGGTTTGCAAGAAGATGTTTAAATAACTGAACTTATTCAGCTTTTAAAACGATGATCTTGAGTGTGCCAAATAGTTCGTAAAACTCAAGGTCAAGAGAGTTGCAGAGATGGTTTCATGGCAGGAACAAAGGAACTCTTGCAAAAGTATTTCTCAAGCTGGATATGGATGTCGAAAATCTCATTTCTTTTTTACTGTAATCTTAATGGACTACAGTGAGCAGAGGGAATGGACAGATTTGAGCCTTTCCAGCTTCAGTCAGAATCTCGTCAGACAAAACACCTCAGGGAGGGCGGAGGCTGGTTTTCTTCATATCTCTGCAACACAGACCTGGGTTGGCGAGCCAGTGCTCAGGAAAACTGAATCTGGCTGTTTGCTGCCATCACTGACGAGTACAAATGAGTGAGAAAGATGCAGGGAAACATTATGTATGTACAAACGGGTAACATATTTGGTGTAGAATATTCTATCTAAATTTAACCTTTTAGAAATTACGTATTTTATTAAGGCTTAAAAGCTCCTTTGTAATCCTTTGTATGTTGGACACTGGTCCAACATAATACTCTGTTCTGATCCAAACATAAAGTTTTTTATTCAGTACAGATGTTTGATTTAATTCAGTCTCAGTTAAAGAGATGGAAAAATATTATGTCTCAATTACTTCAGTTTAAGGTTCTTTTTTTTATGTAGATTAAAATGTGCAGGTGTTTTTTGCTGTTGCACCATGCTTATTTAAATAAATAGTTCATGTTTTTTGAAGTTGGTTTCAGTTGAAAGGTTTGGGAAACTGAATTTGGCTGTTTTTGTTGCTATTTTAGCTCTCTGAACAACCTGCTTACCATGTAGGAAAAATATATTGACCCGATTAACAAGAAAACAACTAGTTTAGACAAGAGCAAAGTGGATTTTCATCCTAAAACAACTTCATACTACCAAGATGAGTAAAGATGATTCCATTATCTTCAACTGCCCAACAATGAAGAGTAACAAAGCACTTTTTATGTCTCAAATAACTAGTTGAAACAAATAGTCTTGGAAAAAATGCATATCTGAACATACATCAACAAAAAACGATGTGAATCAACAAAATCAACACCCGAACAAAAAGTACCTTAAGTATATTTTAAGTTTTTAGTCAGGAAAATGCCCCTTTGTTTACATGGAGTAGCGGGACTTTAAAATTGTACTTCTGCCAGCCACCAGGGGGCACTCAACCTTTATACCTTCAGTTTCTGAGTTTGGGTCTTGTCTCTAGTTATAATATGTCGTTGCTTCATAAGTTAAAGCTTCATTGGGGTTCATAAAAACACCAATTTATAAATGTTGGCATCACCATTAATTCATTACACATGTATTCTGGCAGAAGTGTGGCATTCCTGGAGGAAGTGCTGTAGGCTGCACAGGAAATGCTGCAGCTAGCTGTTGTTGCCACTATTTGCACTTGCAAGTAAATGTAGAATTCTGTTCAAATATCTGTGATATGAACATGTAAAGATTTTTTTTTTGTGTGTGTGTGAATTATTTAGAACTTTTTAAGATTTAAGTAGTTTTTAGATTAAATAATCCACTACCATACTCAGTCCTGTTTAGCTTAGCTGTTAGCTCTTCAGTCATGTCCGAATTAAACTCCTTTTCTACAAAGGTTGTTCAAAGAGCTATCTACAGCAGGTAAAATGTTAATTTTTTTAAAGTTTTTCCACAAAATTACACTTTTTAAGCACTTGCTTTAACCGCACTGTTACAAATCTGCAGACAAAGGTTCTTTAATATGACATATTTTAGAAATAAAACCTCTGGTGTTGTCTGCAGAGTTCAGGGAGTCCAAAAATGCTGATCAATTTGTAACCAGGCTGTCTGATGTTTGAGCAGCACATTAGTTGTTTTAATAATCCCAGCTCTCTTTGTCGCTCTCTTTCTTTGCTTCTCTTTTCCCCCCAGGAGAATATGTAGTGATGACAGCGTATTTCCATTTGAAACGGAAAATTGGCTATTTTGTGATTCAAACCTACCTCCCGTGCATCATGACTGTCATACTGTCTCAGGTCTCCTTCTGGCTTAACAGAGAATCCGTTCCTGCTCGCACTGTGTTCGGTAAGTCTGAAATAAATGGTTCATTACTCACTTCAGATCATTCTGGGACAGGGATTTTGATTTAGAAGCTTAGTATTTCTCTGATTTGATTTTAAGTGCTCCTACTTACTGTGCCGTACAGATAAAACAGTAAGTTTTAACAGCCCAAGTAATCCAACTGATGTTACTGTACGGCTCAGGGTGCACATATTTACTGACTGAAAAGTCAAGTTATTAAAACAGCAGGAGATCAAACCTCACATATTCTTTGCAGAAAACTAAAATCCTATGCATACAATCAAATCCAAACCTTTATACCGTATCCATCCTCTTACAAACAACAAAACGTTAGAGAAAATACAGTTATTTGACTCAGTATGAAGAAATGCTTTTATGGTGTACTGTATAAAAAATTATATTGAAATGAATGCTAGTAAATTAAAGTAATACTCAAAATCTAAAAGCTGATGTGTTCATATTTGTATTATTGATTTTTACACATCAATCATTCCTCTGCAAAAAGAAAAATACCCTAAAGAACTTAATTAGTTGCAAAAAAAATCCTTTCAGCCATCTGATTAATGATGTTTTAGGGGAGTGATGATCCTCGCACTGTGATCACATGAGCTTTTTGTTGAGCACTCGGCAATATGTCGTATATATTTTAGCCCTACTTCTTTTTCTTGTAAGCTTTGTATTTTTCTATTAATTAATGTTTTGACTATTATTGAAATTCAGGAACATCTGCTTTATTTGAATTACGTCATTTTGTTTCCATTATTTTTACAATAATAATTAATCAGCCTTTTTTTTTTTTTAAGTAAAATTGGCTGCACAGTGGTTCAGTAGTTAGCATTGTTGCCTCACAGCAAGAAAGTTTTGATTCAGTCCCCAGGTTGGATCTTGGGTTTTTCTGTGTGGAGTTTGTGTGGGTTTTCCTCGAGTACTCCAGTTTCCTCCCACAGTGATAAAGCATGCCTGTTAGGCTGCCACCAGGCCCAGACCTCCCTCACCAAACAGATCTGTGATCTCAGTGAGATTTAAAGGTTCCATCCATCCATTATCTTTACCCGCTTCTTCCTTTTTGGGTCGCGTGGGTCACTGGTGCCCATGTCCAGTCAGCACTGTGCAAGAGGTGGAGGACACCCTGGACTGGTCTCCAGTCCATCACAGGGATGGAGACAAATAAAAAACAACCAACTCTCTCACTCACACCTAGGGACTATTTAGGGTTACCAATCAGTCTAACATGCATGTTGTTGGTCAGTGGGAGGAAACCAGAGTACCTGGAGAAAGCCTGTGAATGCACGAAAAGAACATGCAAACTACCACACAGAAAGGCCCCCAGTCCGGGATTTGAACTAGGGTAACCTGCTCAGTGAGTGGCAGCAGCTCTACCAGTTGTGCCACCATGCTGCCTGGATTTAAAGGTTAATAAATTAATTTAAAAAATAATTTTAATACAACCAAATACAGTACACTGAAGCCCTATTCGCACAGGATTAGTTTGATGTAGGGACCACATACTATTTGTAATAATTACAGAGATTGTCTGTGTTGTTAATCCTGTGCGAATCGGCCATGTCAGTAATTTGTAAAGTGAAAATTCCCCCTCACATTACCTACTATATTTTGCTGAACTTCGAGGTCCTGTGATTATATTAATCCAATGAGAATAGGCATCTCTGTGATTTGGACAGAAATGGGCAGGATCTGATACATAAATAGGCATTTTTTTGTTTTTGGTTAAGCAAAATTATTTGTAAAAAAACAGAACAAGGCTATTTTAAATGTACGCGCTGCTCGCTTCGGCTTTTGTACTTGCTGCTACTTCCTTCACCGCAGATGGCAGCAGGTGCGGAGATGCGCACATGATCAGCTGACCCATCCATCCATTATCTTTACCCGCTCCTTCTCTTAGGGTAGCGGGGGTCGTTGGTGCCCGTGTTCATCCATCACTGTGCGAGAGGCAGGGTACACCCTGGACAGGTCGCAAGTCCATTTCAACCAGCGAGTCAGCGGTTGCACACGGCCAGTGACAGGTGTCCATCTGAGCTTAACGTAGCTTTTTTTTACCTCTTAAACTGGCCGGTCGGACCTGCCTCCTCCTCAACAAGTAGATTAACACAATTTTATATTGTGCAATCTTTAGTTTTCTTTGTGCTGATTCGTAAAACCGCATCAAAGCCTGAGACAGGCCCGGCCAGCACATTAAGCACATTATTACGGACCGGCCCGGTCGAGACAACGCAGCGCGTCGGCATCATATCCAGAAGATGTCTGTAAATGTTAGCTAAATCTCAGGCTTTGGTTATCTCGTGCGAATGCGCCACATAAAAAGCAGATGTTGGGGAGTAATTTATTTATTACATGTGGTCCCTAGGTAAAACCAATCCCTTGCAAGTAGGGCTTAATACAGCAAAAAAGCTGGAATTTGTAGTTTTTGCTTGCCACCAAAAAGTAAAATGAGGGGGTGATGGTTTTGCTTGTGTGTGTGTGTGTATTGGTATTTGTTTGTCAGGTGTGTTAACCAAATATTCTGCGAACCACTGGATGGATTTTAATGAAATCTTCAGGTGATAATTATTGGATATATATCTACAACTTATTGCCTTTCTGAGTCAATTTGATGTAAGATGGCTGCCACGGCAAACCAAACATAGATTTAATTCTTTCAGTCTGACAGGTATTGAGTTAAAATGACATGGTAGTAGATGAGTCACTCATAACTCATTTGTCGAGCACTGACTGGTCATGAAAAAACTTGATCCCTAACAACTGGAATCAACTTTTTTTTGTCTGTTATGAAAATTTCTCTTAAACCAGAAGGCAGACATTAATGAAAGTCTTTGAAAGTAGCCGTTGGATATACATCTATAACTAGTTAGCTTTAAGTCAATCCCGTTCAAGATGGCTACCACAGCTAATCACACAAATGGCAACAAGTCAGCCAGTTTGACCGATTTTAAACTATAGTATAATTTGATGTAATAGCTTGGAGGAGATCCCAGTGCATGTGCTAACAACTCACTTAAGGTTTACCCAAAATGGCTGCAGCTCTGTCCCCTCTCATTATGTGGTTTTAGTATAAAAAGTGTTCCTTGAACTAATGTTGGGTTCTTTTGATTCGTAACTCACGAATGAATCCATCTCAGTCCAGAACTGATTGTATCAGTCTTTTTGTCATTACACTCAGAATCGACTTGGCCTCCTTGTTCGTCCTCATCATATTCCCGTTTAGCGTCTCCGGTGTATCAGATTTTATAAGATACGATAGTTTGGAACAGAGAGGAGATTGTTTTTATGTGGTTGGGTGGTGTGACCATTGTCCGAGCCAAGTCTCATTCCCAGCACTGCTGACTGAATGGGCTGGGACGTGAAATGATCTGTGAAATTTTCAGTTTTTCATCTCAGTGATTTAATTTCCACATTAATTCATTTTAGTTGACAGAGTTCTACTTTTGCAGTTTTCACAGTCCAAACTTTTCACTGAAGATAACAGAATCCTGCAAACAAGGCTGCTTTCAGCTGAGCACATGCAACACGATGTCTTTTACATGAAGAAAAGTCGATTTGTCAACTTTAGTTTTAAAATGTAGTTAAACAAAGGGCTAATATTGTTGTTGTATTTTTTAAGTATTTATTATCTATAGAGGTTCAGCATCATATAGGATTCAGGTTTTATTTAACAAGTCACGCTTTGGATTGGTTTAAATAAAAAAAAACTGCACAATGCGGTCTTTGTATTGATTTAATGCATTGAGAAATACTTGGTTTGAAATGCTGACCCTGAGCACTTGTAATGTTCATTCATCAGTGAACTGTGTCAGCGGTTTGAAGCTCAACTTTCTGACTTTGTACAGTAGATTATGTAAAGCTCGACAGCAACGTGGACTGGACTGTTGTGTTTATGTTCAAACATTTTGCATGAAATAAAATAAAAAACAAGAACTACTGTAAAGACTAACTTTTACAAAGGATTGTGGTGCAACATTGCTATAATATTTTATGTGTTTATGGATTTCTTGTGAAGCCACTGTGAATAGTACTGGATCCTTCATATTTTTTTCTTTCATTTCATATTATAGTTTATCATATATAATTATGAGTGTATCATTTATCATAATAGTGTATTATATATCATGCATCATCATCAAGGCAAAGCTTTTACTTTAGGGGTCTGTCTACGCTCAGACCCTCACCTGTGGTCATGTGGTTTGGATTACAACCAAAAGAACGAGCGACTGAAATTAGCTTCCTTCGCAGGTTGGCTGGGCTCATCCTAAATGCTCCCACATACTCGGTCGTACTGTGAGTACTCTGTGAGCCGCGCAAACACTGCGCACACCGTCTACAGACGGTTCAGACTTCATACGCGAGCATACACCTTGATGGGCTGCAGCCCAGCTCTGCAGGCAAGGGGCATTTACCTTCGAGACAAATTGATTTCACCGATTGGTCATTTGCTGACACGCTTACTGGATTGATTGACAGGTTGCAAAAGAAAAAAAAACTAGTTAAAGGCGGCCTTGGGTAGAGCAGCTGGCAGCCCAGGAGCAGCTGTGTTCTGTGTTTATATGTTGTTAATAAAAAGTTCTAAAAATGTAAATAAAAAAAAAAAACAGGGAGCACTGGCCCTGCAGCCCACACATCAGACCGGCCCACCAGGAAATCTCCAGACCCTCCCACAGCCACGCTGGACCTGATTTTAATTCTCTCGTGACAATTTCCTTAATTTCTCACAATTTCAGTCATGGCGTCAGCGGACGAGGAGGAAGAGATCGCTTGTCTCTTGGCAAAAACAAAAAACAAAAGAAAAGGCCATTAAACCAGATCAGGGATGAAGAAGGGGAATTTCATACATTGGTGTTGCATACAAAACGGTTCATCGCCGGGCAGTTTACCATGCAACACAGAGTACGCGGTCATAAAAATGTATCTTTGCGCGGACATGGCTTGTGGATGTCCACTTCGAGTCCACGCTGGTCTAATCGGGTACACGTGGACCTCTGCGGAGTAAA